ATGAAGTACCAATTTCGTTTTATATATTTTAAAAGTATATACATTATATCTATATATAGGATTATATGTAACATATATAAGGGGGGTAGTTTGATTTCCGAGTGACTGTCTGTCTGTCCGTCCGTTCGTCTGTGCAAGCAATAACTTGCGTGAAACAATGATAGCTTGATGAAATTTGGTACACATGTTCCTTGGCACAAAAGTAAGGACGAGTTCGTAGATAGGCATAATCGGACCGCTGCTACACCCAAATTTGGCACCATGAATCACATTGAGGAGGAGCACCTGCGGTTTTAAAATCTTTAAAAAGTGGGCGTGGCCCCGCCCCACAATAAATTTAATGTACATATCTTCCCAACAAATAAATCTATATCACCCAAATTTGTACTATGTACAATATTGTAAATATTATTCCCTTATACGGGAAATCGGATAATAACCACAGAAGCCATTGTCGAAAGGGACGCCGCCTGGCACCGCCTGCTTTTAAGTGAAATCACATATCTCCGAAACTACTCAATTTCAACCAAATTTGGTACATAGGATTATTTTGCTCATGGATTATGTTCATCAGGATTGTTTTGTTTGGCGAATATTAGTTATGAGCGATTAGGGAGTCGTAGGTTATTAATTTATAGGGGATTATTGAATTTTATACCTTTCATATCATAGGGCGAAAATGGGTCAAATCAGACTAGACTACAACCACGCCTACTTTCCATTTAGCACACTTTTAAATTCCATATGGTTCTTATACTTTTTAGTATACAAATCAAACACCAACAAATATACCGGGACAAAACTTTGCAGAAATAGTGCTTTTGTTTGCCTGAATGTGAAAAATGGATTGAATCGGGTCAATACTTCCCTTAACTCCCATATACCTTATCGAAATATTTTCATTGCTGCATACCGCATATATCCGCCAATATGTGAGCTATCTTTATAAAATTAAGTGGATGTATGTTTTTTATAATGGTGAGTTTTTGTGCCTAAAATTAGTAAAATCGGGTGAAAACTTCCCCTAGCCCGCATATAACTAATCACAGAATTTTCAAACATTAAATTTACACCGATTGATTTTATTCCATATACATATGTAGGATGGTAATGGTATGGTACCTTAATGAAAATCAGGGAGCATTTTATTATGTTAATGGTATGTTGTAATTCCAAAAATAGATAAAATCGCGTCAATATTTCCGGGTCGAGACGTTTTCACATCAACTCATCTCTAGTCGTATAGAGAAGTACATTTCGTCGCTGTTCTGTATAAGTTGCAAATACTTGTACATATATCGGATAAGAGTGTATCGTTGCCGGCGGTGGTTGCGATTATTTTCCACTTTTAATTGCGTTTGGACTTTGCGTGTTGCAACACCGAGTTCTATTACAATTACACTTTTAGCAAACATTAAATTTCAAGTATTTTTTGTGAAAAAAACCCATTGAAGTGGAAATAACTTTTGATATCATTCGTTTTATTTTAGTGAGATAGAAATTAATTGATAGTTAATTTTTTAAAAATTTGTTGTATAATTATTATTTTTATTTTAGATTAGTACAAATGTTTTTCAATATTTTAATTTTTTTATTCGTTCATTTCCTAATTTCATTTCTTTGTTTCTTGCTTACACTGCATACAAGCGATTTGATTTCGTGATGGCGGAGGATAGGTACATTTTGACAATAACTGGGAATTTAATTAATTAATCGAAGGAACGAACGCGATAAATTGCGTCAGAATGTTGAATTTCTTCAGAAGAATGTGCTCTGCTACGAAATTGCTGATTAATTTCCTATGCCGAAAAATTTCCGATATCACCTGAAAAACAAATATAATAAAATTATTAAAATATAACTTCTTTGTTGAAAAGATTTTAACATGGAGCATCAGTTCGAGACTTCATCGGTATTTCATTCAAACAATTCATCACTATATTATACTAATTATTTCGGCATTTTTTCACAGGTTCACATAGGCTACATATAACGACAAAACCAAATTAGTCGATTTGATTCGATTGTTTATTCAAGGAAAAATTAAGTCAGAACCAGAAACGGAACAAATCATTTTGCACGTGAATGAATTATAAATTTTAATTTTTTATAAATTATTTTTCTAAATGGTTTTTACAACGTTCTTTAGATTTTGTTCACGTTTTGTTCAAATTTTTCAATAAAATTTGAACACTATTAATATTGTAATAAAATTGTATTTTCTATTGGTCCAATTTCGACAACTGGCGACCCTAGTGGTATTAAATTTAGCTTCTTCGGTTGAGTTTATATCCCCTATCTCTCATTTAAAGATAATTTAAAAAAAAAATTTAGCTGACTCGAATATAGTCATAAAACTAAGTGAGTCTATGACGTATGATATGATCGTAATGTTGAACGATAAATTTTTCGCAAAATTTTTATACCCTGAACAGGGTATATTAATTTTGCCACGAAGTTTGTAACATCCAAAAGTAAACGGCGGAGACCATATAAAGTATATATATAAATGATCACCGTGACGAGCTGAGTTGATTTAGCCATGTCCGTCTGTCCGTCCGTCCGTCCGTCCGTCCGTCTGTATATACGCGAACTAGTCCCTCAGTTTTTGAGATATCTATCTGAAATTTTGAACAAGTCTTTTTCTTACCAAGAAGATGCTCATCTGTCGGAACGGCCGATATCGGACCACTATAGCATATAGCTGCCATACAAACTGAACAATCGGAATCAAGTGCTTGTATGGAAAACTCTTTCATTTGACTAGGAATCTTCACGAAATTTGGTATGGACTATTATTTAAGGCAATAATCTAATCGCCGAAGGAATTATTCAGATCGGATGACTATGACATGTAGCTACCATATTAACTGAACGATCGGAGTCAAGTGCTTGCATGGAAATTTTTTTTATTTGACGAGATATCTTCACGAAATTAGACACGAGTTCTTGCTTAAGGCAACAAATTATTCTCCACAGAAATTGGTCAGATCAGATCACTATATCATATAGCTGCCATACAAAATGAACGTTCGGAATCAAGTTCATGTAAGGGGCCTTTGTATTTGTGAATTATAGCTTCGGTGCAACCGAAGTTAACGTTTTTCTTGTTTAATATAAAATGAAGGTATTTTCCCTGCTTTGATCATTGCAAGTTGCAAGAGTATAAAATGTTCGGTTACACCCAAACTTATCACTTCCTTACTTGTTATAGTTCAAATTTAATACAATCTTAACAATCCTTATGCTCTATTAATAACGTGCTTGTTCTAGAGAATGTTAATTCATAGAGAAGACGCAAATGTTAAGTGAAATTTTTATGTGTACTAATTTGTAGTTCCAGATGAGGGAACATCGAGAAATATAACTTCGAAAAAGAAAAATACACCACATAATGTTCAAAATGCTATAAATAGACACAACGAATAAACCCAAATGAAAATTGTTGCGCATACCAATTTAGATTTATGTTTTCAATTTCTATGGTATGACAAAATTTATATTTAAAAAAAACTGTATTACCGGTAATACTGCGTTTACATGGGGATACTTTGGTCGCTCATTATCGCAGCAACTCAAATCGAGTATTTCTATCAATCCTTTTCACAAAATTTTCGCAAATGTTCGTGCACTTCAGCTACGCGACACTTAGAGAGTGTTGCATATTTCAGTTGTATGTGGTGGTCTCACGCCACATGTGGTAGAACAATATGCATAATACCCGCTTAACAATTTCAAAGAAATACATAGGTCGGGAATTCCCTAATTCACCCGAATGTATTGAATACGCGCTACTAATATAATATATTCAAGGCCAAATATATGACAGGAATTTCCCAATCTTTCAGAAAGTATAATACTAAAAACCTATAACTTTTTTGCTCCATATTTTTTCTATTTGTTATAAAATATTCATCATTCATAAACTAATTACAAATCGTATTTAAAAAAAATAACATTTGAACTAAATTCTTTGCGATTAAATACATAAAATAAATATGAAAGCATCAAAATATTTTATGTATATACAAAAAAGTAAAAGTAACTCCATTTTTATTATATTGTAATTCATTGATGTATATATTATTACAGTTAGTACCACAAAATGTTTTTAAAAAATTAAATTAAACAGCTTTGAGTATCTTAATTTTCTCCTTATTCACAATTTTTCAAAATATTTCTATTATTCTATGCATACATATTTGCATACTACATAGGAAAAATTTATGACGAAATTCAAATTTCCTAACATATCGTATATATTCATTTAAAACCGAGCGCTATCGCAACCATGAAAGGAATTTCAAAATAAAAAGGCATGCTGAATTGCGTAGCAGCGAACTGTTTCGAACAAGAGCACAAAGCGTGCCACAGAGCACGAGTGGCACGGTCCCTTCGTCTGTCCTCGTCCACTCGATCACAATAAACCGGATTGGGGTGCAAAAAAGACCGTATGTGAACAGGTACTAACTGCTTGCCATGTAAAATGTGAGAACATAAAAAATGTATTTATGGTATATACATATTATAGAAAAAGGGTAACATATAGTATGGATGTAATAATTTATGTGCATATGCATAAGCGGTGCTCTCAGAGAGGTGAATAGCTTAATTCAATTTCGCACAGTGTCATGTATCTGACACTGTTAAGCCCACTTTTGAAAATGTTTCCCCACCTTTGTTGTTCGCAATTATTAAGAGTATAAAATGTTCGGTTGCAACATAACTTAGCCCTTCCTAACGTGTTTCACCTGAATTGCGTGCCACGGTGTTTTTTGCTTTCCTCTTCTTTGTTTGTTTAGGAAAACAGTATGATTTTGCGAATTTGCTACGGTTTACTTTTGTTCTGCATTACGTCATTATTACTTTTCGGAGTTTGGATAAAATACCTATGCAATAATATTTTTATTTGGTCTACATCACTATAACTTTAATTAAAAGTTTTTAATGTTATTATTACGGTGTAATCAGTAAAGAAAATGTAATTTTTTTATTTGCAGACGGTAAATGCAAGCCTCAGAAAGTAGATTTACACTTGAAAGCTGGAAGTTATCCCGTTATTAGTCCGGAAAATATAACATTTCCAAAAAATTTTCTGTCGGCCGATCAAAGGTATAATTCTTTGTAATACTAAACTATTTACCATTGCTTATTTTTAAATTTCTTTATCAAACTATAATATTCTTTTAACTGTTATTTATGTTAATAAATATCTGATTCTATCAAGTTAATAAAATTTATTTGTTTCCCACTGTCCCGGTTTTATCAATTTTTGGCATCTCGTCTATTAATAATTAATAAATTACCACACAGATTGACCGATACATATGGTTTAAAGTTAACCGGAAACTAAACCACTACAAGGGCGATAACTCAATATATAAATGCCTCAGCAACATTGAATTTTACATGAAAGATTGTACGAAAGGGCTTCATAGGAATCGGTATCAAAAATATACAATGGGCGTGGTCCCACGTACATCTAGATTAAATTCCATATCTTATCCACTAGGGTGCGAATCGGACAACAACAACGTCTACTTTCCATATGACATAACATTGAATTCCGTCTGATTCTTTCAGTTTACATGAATATATTGAGATAAAACTTTGTACAAAAAGTGCATTTATAGTATGCCATCTTAAGACTAAAATTGTGAAAATCTGACCATAACTGTTCAAGCCCCCAGATACTGAATATGGTGACACACGCGCACGCCCACTGTCTAATTTTGAACGCGGTTCCTATACAGTCATCTCATACCATCCCAGGGATAAAATCTAATGTCTCTGGCGTGTTTAGTGCTTGATTTATCGCGCTTTTAGTAGTTTTTAACAGTACCGTTATATAGGGACTGGGCGGAGTTGCCACCCGATTTTCACACCGTAGGTAGAGGTGCTAAAAACATTTGCTTCCAGTGAATTTTGTTATTATAGCTTAAGTAGTTTAGGAGATATGCACATTAAACCTACTAGGGGCGGGACCACGCTCACTTTAAACAAAAAATTTTAACTGCAGATGCCCCTCCCTAATGTGATCCTGTGTAATAAATAACAGTCTTGTATCTTATTGCGGAGCTTAGTTATGGCAATTTACTTGTTTTTGATCAATGGCGTTTTGTGGGCGTATCAGTGGTCCGATTACGCCCATCTGCAATACCAACCGTCTCACGGTACCAAGAAACATGTCTACCAGGTTTCATAAAGATATCTAAATTTTTACTCAAGTTACAGCTTGCACGGACGGACGGACAGACAGTCACCCGGATTTCAACTCGTCTCTTCATCCTGATCATTTATATATATATTATATAACCCTATATCTAACTCGATTAGTTTTAGGTGATACAAACAACCGTTAGGTGAACAAAACTATTATACTCTGTAGCAACAGGTTGCGAGAGTATACAAATGTGTAAAATTGGTCAATGAATTCTCCAGCTACCATATACTACATATATTATATATATTTATTTTCGTTATTGTTGCATACTTTAAGTCGCATAAGCATGAAAACATGTTCCCGAATATACTTGAGTAATGTCCTAAGCGAGTCGATTTTGTTTCTAAAAACTTTTTTTCTGTGTGAGTAATCGACTTACTCTTCTTTATACTCTCGCAACCTGTTGCTACAGAGTATACTAGTATTGTTCACCTAACGGTTGTTTGTATCACCTAAAACTAATCGAGTTAGATATAGGGTTATATACATATAAATGATCAGGATGAAGAGACGAGTTGAAATCCGGGTGACTGTCTGTCCGTCCGTCCGTCTGTCCGTCCGTCCGTGCAAGCTCTAACTTGAGTAAAAATTGAGATATCTTTATGAAACTTGGTAGACATGTTTCATGGTACCGTGAGACGGTTGGTATTGCAGATGGGCGTAATCGGATCACTGCCACGCCCACAAAACGCCATTAATCAAAAACAAGTAAATTGCCATAACTAGCTCCGCAATAAGATACAAGACTGTTATTTGGTACACAGGATCATATTAGGGAGGGGCATCTGCAGTTAAAATTTTTTGTTTAAAGTGAGCGTGGTCCCGCCCCTAGTAGGTTTAATGTGCATATCTCCTAAACTACTTAAGCTATAATAACAAAATTCACTGGCACTTCTATTGACGGTGTTAAAATAGTTAAACTCGGGTGGCAACTCCGCCCACTCCCCATATAACGGTACTGTTAAAAACTACTAAAAGCGCGATAAATCAAGCACTAAACACGCCAGAGACAATAAATTTTATCTCTGGGATGGTATGAGATGACTTTATAGGAACCGCGTTCAAAATTAGACAGTGGGCATGGCACAGCCCACTTTTAGGTGATATCTTGAGATCTGCTTAACCGATTTCAACCAAGTTCGGTGCGTAACGTTTTTATATTTCTATGTCATAGTGTGAAAATTGGTGAAATCGGACTACAACCACGCCTACTTTTCATATAACACCATTTTAAATTCCATCTGATTCTTTCACTTTCCACTATGCAAATCAGGCAACAATGACTGTATCGGGATAAAACTTTGCGTGAATATTACGTTTAAAGTATGCCACCTTATGGCCAAAAATTGTCTAAATCAAACCAAAACTGTTCAAGCCCCTAAGTACTAAATATGTGGACCCCAGTGCCTATAGTTGACCTTCTACCGAAAATATCAGCCAATCCACAAAGAAATCTCAAACGAGTATACCATTTGACTTTGCGAGATTATAAAATATTCGGTTACATCCGAACTTAGCCCTTCCTTACTTGTTTATTTGTCAGTTTATTATTTAAGATTTTTAAAAATAAATGCTTGGGATACCGAAAAGAGGGTTTGGATAATCATAGACATGCTTTGCAGTCCGTCATTTCAGGCCAAAGAGAGTTCAGACGGGATTTTGGCGGCACTTCCCCGAGTAAATGGACCATTATGAGGTTGGTAAACATGTTTGCCGAATCTTAAGGTATCGCATCGAGATCCGCATGTTCGTGTTCAAGAAACAACCGCGGCTGTTGCATCGTCAATTCAGACAAATCAAAGAATTTCGACTCGCTACTTATCGGCGCAACTTGGAGTTAGCAGACGGTCATTACAACGGAAAATGCAGGAGGACTTAAACCTGTTTCTGTACAACTTTCAGATAACAAGCCGGTTAAACCTTCTATATTTGCCTATTCACCTGAAATTTTGACAAAAAATTATTGAAATGGCTGAAGAAGACAATAACTTGATAAATTACCTGTTTATGTCTGATGAGGCTCATTTTGATCTAATACCGTAAATGGAGTGAATCAAATCCAAAAATAATCACGAGACGGAACTTTACCCAGAACGAGCACCACACAGTGCGCAGTATAATCAAGGTGTATTTTCGGGTCATACTTCTTTGAAGAAAATGGTCTAACAGGAACTGTCAATGGGCACCGTTATTGAAAGATGTTGGATGATTTTTTTTCCCCAGAGCTGCGCCAAAGACGAATCCCTTTAAATAACATTTGGAGCAAGATGGAGCAACTACACACATAGCCAGACCGGTTATTACGGAGCTACAACGAAAATTTGAAAACAAATTAATATCAAGGAACTTCACTTTTCGCTGACCCCCAAGGTTACCTGACCTGACTGCACCAGACCTTTTTTTATGTGGTTATGTCAAGCAGGAGGTGTACTAAACAAAACACAGAAATCTGACTGAATGTAAGCCGTCCATTAAATCGATAATTGAGGCAATATCAACTTCAACCCTTTACGCCGCAATGAATAACTTCCCAATTGGGTATCGCATATGCATGGCTGAGCATGGAGGTCCATAATTTATAAAAATAATTAATTATATAAAATAAAATAAAATTTGCAATACAATAAAAAAAAACTGTAACGCATTAATCAATGAAAAAAAAAGTTATTACGGTTTATTTTTGTAGGACGATTCGTGTGCAACCCTGTATAATGATTTCCGTTTTACTTGGATTTATTAATAAAACAAAACATGAACAATAACTGAAATCACAGAAAAATTAATAAAGTTAAATATACATTCTTTCATGTTAGTACATAAACTGCTCTGAGAGCTGAAGGGTTATAAAAAGTATTTTTTTTAAATATTTACTGATGTAATATGGGATCAAGAAGTTAATACTCTAAATACGTTTCGGTACAGCAGAGTATTTCTCAATAATCCACTTGTTTTTGTTTAGAAATAGTAATTTGTTGACGTTTTGTGCCTTTAATGCTGTTCTCCTATCTGATATTAGCGAACCAGCCTGTCTAAATATTCTCTCCGACTTAATAAAATTAAAACAAAGTGACATGAAATTCGTTTATATGCAATGTAGGCAGACAAGGCCTCTGGGTGAATGTACTTTGAGTATGTACATACATAAGTACTTGTATATTGCGAAATTCGATCACGACAGATTGTTCACATATTATAATATGTTTCAATGTCATAACTTTACTCTCGAAAATCAGGGGTACTAAATGAAATAGAGGTATTTTTACAATTTTCATTTTTCCATTTATTAAAATACTGGAAACCCGTGACGCTAAAAATTCAGAATCAGGCTGCACGCAGGAATAAGGGAGGTGGCATGTCAGAACATCTGAAATTTTTACCTAATTGTATATATTATATTTCCGTATCATTCCTTCTAATGCACCCAACACCTAATTAATGTTTAAAAATAGTTAAATTTAACTATTTGTATGCTATTTTAAAAAATTTCTGTACTTACGAATTTGAAACAATGCGCGTAATTAGCCTAAGAATGAATAAATTTGATTTTGAGGCTACCATGTTAACAAAATTAGACTTCACAATTGGTATTACCAGACTATTTTACTATGTAGCTTAATTAAGTAAAATTTTGTAATTTTTTGAAAATTTTTTGGTAAGTTAAGTTTAGGCATAACCCATCGAAAATCAAAGTAAACTATCGACTAATAAAACCATCGCCAGTCCCCTCGATGGTTTTGCAGCTCTACTTCTTGTTAAAGTTTATATCACATATATTGTATCTCATTTGAGTTAACTATGTTAATTTTAGTACTAATATCTCAGATACGTGATAAAATGTAGTATTGAATCTACTTATGTAAGTATATCACTTATAGTATAAATTAATATA